ATATATATATATATATATATATATGAATTAGGAAGTTTACGTTTCCATATGGGATCCAGTGAAGGTCGTTCTTTTTTTTCTTCCATTCGTCGATGCCCCTGGAATGATTGAGGGAGGAATCCGGTTCTTACCGGGCGATGCGCGAGAGAAGGAGAATATCGGTAAACGTAGAAAACTAGTCCGCGAAACTGACCGGTGTAGTTGCACCGGTTACGCCTGGGAACCGGATAAATTATTTATGAAACGCCAAGATTCGAGACACCTCCCTCCCGCTACGAACCATTCCATCCCGACGCGTGCCACTTTCCATTTCCTTTCCTTCCCGTTCCTTTATCCTTATGTTTATGTTTAGGTTTAGACGAGGAGAAGGAAGATACGATTCCGGAAATTATTGTTAATTATATATACAAATAAACAATATTCTCTCTTCGCAATATTCGTAAATCGATGCTCGTATTTATTGGCTTGCGTTACTCGCGGAAGTAAATATTGCGCGCACGAGCAACGTGGGTCGATCCCTCGGGGCATCTGAAAGGTGAAGTCGTCAGCTTCGAGTCTGGAGGAGAGGGGGAGGGGAGGCTGGAAAAACGAGGCGCGCCGAGCAACATACCCTCGAATCGCGATCGCCCGATGTCTCAATTCATGGAAACGTTACACCGCGAATTATCGTGGAACGAGATTGTCGCGCCATTATCTGTCTCCAAGTTTGTCTTTTTAAACGCACGCGTGCGCTTTTTCAAACGATAGCCCATCATCATCATCACTTTCCCGCGAGAAGTCTCCGTATGTGTATATATATATATTATATGCACGCTTGGGAAGATATAAGAGTTTCATTGAGGTTGAGACGTTAAAACCGAGATGGAGTTACGTACGAAGGATTGTAAAAGGATAATTACATTGCCGGGAGTATAGGTTGTCAAATGAGCCATCTCTTCCTTTTCATCGTTTATTCCAACTTTGCAAATATTTTCCGGGATATATATATATACATATATATATATCTCCTTTCTAATTTTAAGACATACGATACATCGAAACGCGTACACGCGTACGTAGCAGTAAAACTTTTCATCGTTATTCGCGTAGCACGGAGTGTAAAAAAAAGATTAAAATTACCGCGGTAATTCCACTACCGGATGGAACTGCCTCTGCCCGATGCTATATACCATATAATTACACGTTGCTCCGTCCTAATAATAAAAGTAATTCGGTCTCTCTCTCTCTCTCTCTCTCTCTCTCTCTCTCTCTCGAGGCAGAGGAAGGGAAGGCGTTAGGAGGAGGAAGAGAGGGGTGTGTCGCTGGTAACTTCCAGTTAACAACCGACGTTTAAACCGGCGAAATTGCGGAGAGGAGCTAGGCGCGATTCCTAAAGTGAGTAAAAAAAAAAAAAAAAAGGAAAGAAAAACGTGTGGGGGGGGAAGAGAAAAAGGCGCGAGAAATCGATACCTTCTCCTCTCTCGTGGACAGACGATTCGTTTCATTTCGATATCGTGATTTAATATCTGTAAAATAACGCGTCGTTCACGATGGTAGAGAAACGAGCAATGTCATTGGCGGAGTTTCGCTCGGTTCGAACCGGTCAACACGTTCGGCTGTAAATTCCATCGACTCCGAGCGGAGTCGTCGTCGTTTTCGCAATTTCATGCCGTGTTATAGAGTCGATTATGATCCATGGGCCGCGCGGTATTTTTCAATGCTGACCCCTCCATATCTCGATACTCTATACCCTTCGAAAAATTGGACCATTTTTATCGAGACGAATATACCTCGACCCGATATCTTTGAAATTTTACATCGTTTCGCGTCGTCGAGAGGGATACATCATACGCCTCGTTCGTAGAAAAAGAAGAGGAGGAGGAGGAAGAACCACTCCTCGACAACGCGTACTCGTGTAAGAAGAGAAAATTCGAAGCGACGGACGAGAAAGCGCCATTAACCGACCCCTGTGTTTCCTCTAATCGAGTCGTCCCTCCCTTGTAACGTGGGAGGCTCGGTACACGTCGCGCGCGATCCATCGCGAGCTTCGGATCATTCGGACAGCCTGTTAACGATGTTTGCGCAACAACATGATTTACGAAGATCGAGCCGCGCTTTCCTCCGCGCCACGCTCCAAACAACAATGAGCTCTCTCCGCAATCTTATCTGCGCCCATTGTGCGTTTTATTACCGGCGAATCGGTTGAATTCGTCCGAGGAGGAGGAGGGGCAGGAGGAGGAGGAGTAGTTTGCGAGTCTTAATTATACCCTATGACGAATCCACGGCGGAAAAGAAGAATGAAATATCACGCGAGAGAAGATTTATGCTATTAATTTTATTATTTTATATTTTATTATTATTTTATTATTTTTATAATTATATTAATATATATATAATATATTTTATATATAATTTTATTATCTATAATTTTATTATTTTATTATTATTTTATTATTATTATAATTTACTACGTATCACCAACACGATGCCTCCTTCCTTCCTTTATTCCTAATTTCGTATCTCTTCGATTCGATTTTCGAGAGAAAAATCGTGAAAGAAGCGGAATCGGAATGGAATTCGATCGAGCGGAAATTGCGCTTGTTTTCGCGACCTCCCCCCTTCCTCCCGAGTGCAAATTAGTCGTGGGCCTCCTTAATGGTCAGCAGGCACGCGAACGAGGGTCACACCTTCGACCGAAGAGGTCTTGCTTTTGTCGCTCGTATCTCGCTTGCGAATGCGAGTTTAAACGTTAAGTTAGGATTTACGCCGCCCGGTGTAACAAACAAACACGAAGGAGGATCATCCCCGTCCAACCCTTTCTCTTGAAAAGAAAAATTCTCGCGATCCTACTTTTCTTTCCAACCGGTTCCACGGAGAGACGGATCGGGCTTCGCGCCGTTTCTTCGCGAGATAAATCGCGAGAGGAGGAGGCTGTTGCGAGCGTTTGGTCGGTGAAATTTCATCGCGACCGCGTAATGCGCGCGCCTATTAAATGAACCGGTTTTAATGAATTTGCTCGTCCGCGGCGTACGCGCGGTGCACGTGTGTTGCTCGAGAGACTAATCGAGCGGGGCGTAACGAGCTCCTCCGATCCTTCCACGCAGCCCGGGGACGGAACTCGACTCCGCGTTTTTTGCCTCGAGTCGCCTCGGAAATTTGTCTGTCGCTGCCTTAATACGACGCCCCTCCTGTCACGCGCGTCCACGCTCGTCCGTCCAACGCCAGCATAAGCATGCAAGATTCCGACTTTCCAAAGTTTGCGGATCGATCGAATTAATCGAATTGATCGAAGAATTAGTAGAAGCGTCGATGCAATTTGGATGGGTCAATTAGCAGTCGCTCATTCCACGTCCAATCACTCTTCGTTCACGAGGGAATTTTTACAGGGCAACGTAGATGAAAGTGAACGTATAGCCGCTCTCTTTCTCACGCGCGATTCCGTTTTCGATTCATAGATTTTGGAATTTGGAGTTCAACGCGAGTCAATTAGGAGTCGGTCATTACGAAGGTATTTTTATAGAAAGAGAACGTAAGCATAGCCGCTTATTTTCTCACGCGCGATTTTATTTTCGATCGATAGATTTTGGAATTTGGATGAGTTCGATGCGAGTCAATTAGAAGATGTTCATTCATTACGAAGGAATTTTTACAGGAAGAGAACGTAAGCATAGCTGCTCGCTTTTCTATGCGCGATTCTGTTTTCGATCGACAGATTTTGGAATTTGGATGAGTTCGATACGAGTCAATTAGAAGACGGTCATTCATTATGAAGGAATTTTTCAAGAACATAAGCCCCACGCGTGATTTTATTTTCGATCGATAGATTTTGGAATTTGGATGAGTTCGATGCGAGTCAATTAGGAGTCGGTCATTCATTACGAAGAAATTTTTTCAGGAAGAGAACGTAAGCATAGCCGCTTATTTTCTCACGCGCGATTTTATTTTCGATCGATAGATTTTAGAATTTGGATGAGTTCGATGCGAGTCAATTAGAAGACGGTCATTCATTATGAAGGAATTTTTCAAGAACATAAGCATAGTTCTTCACGCGCAATTTTGTTTTCGATCGACAGATTTTGAAATTTGGAATTCAACGCGAGTCAATTAGGAGTCATTCATTACGAAGAAATTTTTACAGGAAGAGAACGTAAGCATAGCCGCTTATTTTCTCACGCGCGATTTTATTTTCGATCGATAGATTTTGGAATTTGAACGAGTTCGGCGCGAGAAATCGGACATTCATTACGAAAGAATTTTTACAGGGCAATGTTGATGAAAGTGAAAAGTATGCGTAATCATAGTTCCTCGAGTTCGGTCATTCATTACGAGAGAATTTTTACAGGAAGTGAATATAGATGAAAGTGAACGAAACGCGATTCGATTACGATCCATCGTCCACCTATCGAATTGATTCGATCGACAAAAATTCATCGTCCGCGTTTTGTTCTACGGATAGTTTTCAGAACGATACATGCGGTGCTCCGTCGTCGGAGAACGCGCAGCGTTGATCGTAACACCAGTTGACTTACACAAACGCATCGATTCGAATAAGTCTCGCGTATTACGTTGACTTATCATCATATCAGACCGTTCATCGTTGCCGTTTAATGAAAGGAGCCACTAATGACGTACGCTGAAAAGTCGAAGAAGAAACTATTCTCCAATAAAATTAAAATCATCCGCCACGGATAAAACGCTTATTTATTCTATTAAATTATCATTTTTCACTCTTGCGTCACCTGTCTGTCACGTTCGAATCACACCTCGAGCAATCGCGATTATATTCAACTCCAAGTATTCGTGATAACTCGTTTCTTTCGCTTTAATTACAAGGAGAAACGTTGCGAGCAATACAATACGTCGCTTATTCACTCATCGCCCACCCTAGCATTTTCATCTCGTAATTACGAGGAATCGCTCGATACTCTACGCGATCACGTTGAGAAGAAATCCTCTCGTACAGGAAAATAAAGATCGGTGGACTCACAGGTGTACTCACTATGTCCTCCATGCTGCGATTTCCGGCGTGCATTAAATCCAGGGATCCAGGCACGGGTTCCCACGGGCGTCGCGCGCGAAGCTGATGGGCTTGTCACATTCACCTGCTATCTATCTCCCAACCAACGCTTTTCCCCTCTTCGCCCGATCGCTCTTCCCTCGATCAGTCTCCGCTTCTTCTCCTCTCACCGCACATGGAGGAGGCCAACACCTCCAACGTGTCGTCAGTCACCACTTTCCCGAAAACAAATCGAAATTTGTCCTTCCTTCTTCACCGATATCTTTATTACCGGCATAACACTGTTTTCACGATAAACGTTACATATATACCTCGTATCTCCGTTACGCAATAAGAGATAAATGATCACACACACGTATGTATATACATATACATATATATACATAAGCAAGCAGCGTATAAGTTTGGCGGACCTGTTTCCTCGTAATCCGAGATCGGAGAGGCGTAGTATCGAGAGTCTATTTATGCGGAGAGGAAGGGAAAGGAGAGAGGAGAAAGAGAGAGAGAGAGAGAAAAAGAAGAAAAGTAGAAACACGCACACGCGGGGCCCGCGCGATCTCACCGTAAGATCGCGGCGAGGATCGTCGTCACCGATACACGGTGACGACAACGACAGTCAGGGTGGTCCACCACGCGCGACATCCTTCGTACCGGTCGTCGAAGTCTCCGCTCGCCACCACCGACGGATATATATCCTCCTCCTCCTCCTCCTCCTCCTCTTCTCCTTTTCCTTTTCCTCCTCCACTTCTGTATCCTTTCGATCTTCGCCAAGGGGATCGTCGAAAATGCAAAAGATGATAGAAATGTCTTTACTTACGCGCAAAGCGATCGGATCGGTTTTTTATTCGTTCCAAGCGCGGGGCAAGAAATCCACGGGGAGAGAGCACACGAGAGAGCGAACGATAGAGTTCGTGGAAACGTGGATGGTGTGTTCTCGAGCAGAGTATGGACGAGCGAACGCGGCGAGAGAGACGACCGTTCGCCGGCTCGGGCTGAATCTCACTGACTCGGTTCTCGCGTTGCCTCTGCCCGCAACGTGTTGCGCGCGACTGCAGGGAGGGAGGGAGGGAGCGAGCGAGCGGAGAGGGGGTCGAGGCCTACCGGGTGCCCAGAGCCTCGACCATTATCTCTCCTCTTAGGGCACCCGACCCTTGTGCACGGCCGAGGAGGAGGCGAGGCGTCTTTATTATATTTACGAGGCGTTATCGATACCCGATCGAACCGATATTGATTCCGCGCCGCGAATCTCCCTCTTTTCCCTTCTTCTTCGTCTTTGTCTCCACTTTCGCTGCCAACGAATTTTTAGTTAGTTGGGCGCGTTCGCGTCTCTAAATTGTTCGAGAGAGAGAGAAAAAGAGAGAGTGGGTCGGGATATGACGAGGGCATGCGGGTTTTCGTTTAACACAGATTCCTCTTCTCGATTCGCGGTCACATAGGGGTGACCTTCTACTCGGCTCGGGCTTTTTTAGAGATAGGCTCGGGCGGATAGCGGCCGAGCTCTGTAAGTGAGACGTTTTCGATTCCATGGCGGCGGAAGTTGTGGAACATTGCGTGTAATTTATTCTTTGTCCCCTCGCCCTTCTTCTCCTTTCTTTTCTCCGCGCGCACGCTTCGGATCACTCTCTCTCTCTCTTTTTCTCTCTCGGGGATAAAAAACGAGTTTCTCGTATGAATTAGACGTCCCTTTGAATTATCGCGTTTCCCTACCTGACTCTCGTGCTGCAGGGGTCATTGTCTTTATAATCCTTCCAGTTCTCGTTTCGGACGTACCCGTGATTTACGTGAATTCTATTACGTTCCATTCGTACGTGCGTATCGCCGCGTTAAATCCGCCTTTCTTTCTCTTCTTTCTTTTTACAGCAGTTACGAAGTAATTCCTGATACGTTTCTTCACGGGTTTCTTCTTTAGAACTTTCTTCTTTATCGTAACGCATCGTTTCCTTTTTCTTTCGAGTGGAAAAAGTTGGAGAGGATATAATAAGAGAATATATTTTCGTCGTAAAAATGATCGTTTTCATTAATCGTAACTCGAAGATTCTTAACGCGATAAGATATTACTTGATCGGCCACGTCACAATACCACGCATCCAGCCCTAACGACTTCAACGCCCATAAATAACACCGCTGCTTTTCATTCGATATCAAACGTTCCAGTTCCACGCTGACATCGACTTCCACCGACTCGATTCATGTACCGTTACCATTACCGCATCGAGATCGATCGAAAGCGAAAATGATTCCCATCCAAGAATACGCGTTGAATTCATAGACGGATAATTTAGCTCGATGAAAACCGAGACGAATCGTACTATTTTTCCCTTTTACAAAAATTCCAATCGTATTTCTCCTCCGAGTAGGAAAGGCAATTCTCTGTTCGAGCGTATGTGGGTGGAGCGCGTTGAACAGCTGATCCGGTCGCCGTGGCGATCGGAAGCCGCATCCGTTTGTACGAGCAGCAGCGCGCCTTCGAATTTCACCCGCATTAGATTCGAGCCGATAACCGTGTATTGTATTTTCAGCCTCCTTCGTTTTTCGATGCTACGACTCGATTTCCGAGTATATCAATACAGGTGTCTATCACGAATATTTTATTTATTCATGAAAGTAGACATTCGAAAGTGTATTCGAGTTTTCAGAATTTTTTGTTTTCGCAGAAACACTTCGAGCACTCCTCCCATAAGTTAATTTGTTTCGTTATTTCTTTTTTTTATTATCTTTCTTTCTCTCGCCATTAAGTGATCAAGGATCGTCGCGTAGGAATTCAAGTAGGCAGAGGTTAGAAAGTATAAGGAGCGTCGTGAGCTAATACAAAGACGTTTAATTGGCCTTCGCGAATAATCGGTCGGAACACGGCGTTTCCAACGACAGTGTTGCGCAATGTTTAATCGAAACGAGAACGCGCAACACTGTTGTCGAAAGAGTGGAGGAGGGGGGAAGAGGAACGTCGGTTATTCGTATTCTACGAAGCTGGAATTATTTTCCACGTGCCATCTCCGGTTTGCGACGTTGCGTATTTTCTTCGCAGCGATATCGATCGACGTAAAAAGCGGGAGACGTTAACGAACGGCAGAAATACCGTTACTCAGCAATCGCGATTCCCCCCGATACACATCCTTAACCTCTCCTATTAACCATTTCCAATCTATAGATCAGAGAAATTTGTGCTGATCGCCGAGCGTTTTTTCAACGAATCTGTCTATCTATATCTATCTATCTATCCATGTGTTTTAATACTAACTTGATTCAAACACAATTTTCACAGTTTTTCCTTCATCTTACGCGTTCGAATTATTGGTCAAAAGTAAAAAAAAAAAAAAAGAACGTAATGCACGGTAAAATAGACGTTCGTTCCGACGGACAATTTTCATCGAAGAATGCGAATGGAATAACCTTTCCTCCCCGCTCCCCTTAATCCCCGTGAAAGCGCGCTGGTTGTGTGCCCACGGAAGGTAAGGGAGGAGGAGAGGAGGGGGCTTGATGAACTTGCCTCGTGAATCACCTCGCCTATAAAAATCGGCGCCGATGCGTGAGAGAGATAATGGCGGGGAGGGGCGGTAACAACAGGTTTGCTTATGTACGCACGTATACACAAACACACGGCCCCGGTGGGGCAGGAAACGGCTGGAACAGCGCACAACCAACGTTCCACTAGGCTCCTAGTTCCTTCCGCGAAGAGGGTGGTCGCTCGCGTTACGATATCGATTATAAAATCAGTTCAAGTTGTTTCGTTGTTCTTTTTATTTCGCCGCGAAAGAGAGAAAAATTTCAATCGAATTTCTCGTCTTTCAATTATCGTCGAATGTCGACGCCCTCCTCGAAATGGACGATAAACGGTGAGAAACGGATCTCGCGAGTGCGCTTTTTCAATATCCCATACGTATAAACGGGGGCAGGAGAATCGATACGAGATACGATACGAGCGAATTCCTAAGATCCCTCCCTCCCTTTATCTCTGCTCGAACACAATCTTTCGAAGCGATGCACGAATCGATGGTTAATTAATACGCGAATCCCCCGCACAAGCGAATCCTTTCGTCGATTTCGCATTCAATTAGGTTTGCCGAATGGCCGGCCGCACCTCCCGCGATACAACGATAGCGCGGGCCGGGAGGAACCCTAATCGATTACGTGGCAGAACGATTGAGAAATCCACCCATTGTTCGCCGATACGATGCGCGATCCTTCGGATTCTTTAGGTTGGAGAACGCTGATCTCGCAGGTGTTCCATCTATCGCCGCGATATCGTGGTTACGTAATTCAGGAATGGAGAGTCGAGGGAAATGACAGACGTTTAATTAAACGGTGGGTGTAGGTTTAAAGAAGGGGGATAATAGGACTTACGTAATAAGACGTGACACGTTGCTTCATACGCGCAATTCGAGTCTCTCGATACGATACTTTCGCTTGTAATTCTTGTCCTACTTTTGTGGTTCCTGTAAATTCGTTCCTTATTCGTAATAATAAATCCGAGTACAGTATTCAAATTCAGAATCTCGTCCAATCAATTTTTACGTACGATGTTGATATATATATATAGTGTGTATGTATGTAAGTAGTCTAAAACTAGTCATAGATGTAAACGAGAAGATAAGAGAACAGGAAGAGGTAGAAAAATGAGATTTGAACGGCGTAATAATCGGGGCGAGGCTTAGCCCCGGATTCGGAATGTCGCAAACCACCGATAGATTCTAATCTATCGACGGAGGCTAAGTTAAGTCGTTCGCTATCTCCCCTCCGTTGCGCAACGCTTTATATCGATCGTAAATTTTGTGGTCGGTGGCCACCGGGATTAATACGTGAAAGCAATTTGGGATCGTTTATCGGGGCACGACAAAAAGTCGGAGCCGATTTGAATTTTGATCGCCTCGGGCGGTGATCGAAAGAAATTCACACATGGGCGTGTTGGAAAACGAAACGCCGATTAATTTACAATCCTTCTTTCTCTCTCGACTCGAGTCCGGGAACAACGAAGCTCGCGTCAATTCGATCGAAGCCGAGTGTCGAGAAACGAGATTCGGGGGGGAGGGAAACGAGGAAGTCGAAAACCAGTTGGTCGAAACGTGGGACGTTAATAAAATACGATCCTAAGCCGTTTCGAACACCTTGTAACGCGTTCGCCAATCGTAGACATTATATCTTTATTGTCGCGCGACGCTCGTTTCGCTCCAACGACTTTTTTTCCCACCGAAATATGTTTTTTTCCGACTCCGTTATAGCCCCACTATAATTCTTTTCACGAAAAATACTCGAGTAACGCGCGAATACTCGCGATAAATACGTCGATAGAATAATGTCTATATAATTGATACGATTGTCAATTTCATCCCGTAATTAAAACATCGATTTATTTCTTCTACATTGCATACTATGTATCCAATAATTTATGAACGGTAACGTACAATTCCCATTACCCGCGAATAACCATCTCCCGAGAACCGACGCTTATTCTTCCTTCCCAATAAACGATATCCTTATTTCATACTCGAAACATCCTAAATCGTATCTATTAATACATCTCGTGCTCGCAACCCTCGAGTTATACGCTTGTATCTCCTTCCAACGAGTGGAACAGGGCTTCGAATAGCTCTGAGCGTATTTATCGCGTTTTCGTTATCCACTCAATCCTATTAGTTTCATCTCTCGCGGTGGAGAGGTAGCTTTCAACCGCTTATAAGTCGCTTCCGCTGCGGTGCAACACCGAATAGCGATCGCGCGTGGGCGTGGAGGATCGGGGGAGGGTCGAGAGGCGGTGGGAGCGGCTCGATCGCTCGATAAGTCGTATCGCGGTCGCGTGCTTGAACTTCACCTTCACCGGTGGTGAACAGGTGATTCTCTACCGTGTAACTGTATCACGCTTCGAATTATATATATATATATATATATATATATATATATATATATATCGGTATAAATAATTCGATCTACTCGTAACAAATAAATAACGCGAAATAATAATCGAAATT